CCCAAGGCTTTGGGCCATCCTCCATTGCTTTTCAAGGCCGTAAGCATGGGGCTGGATTGGGAAGGGGAGCTGCTGGGACATGAACTAGCACCCATATGAGCTACTGGTACCAGCAGGCAAAGGATTAGCCTTTTACATCACCCTAACAGCCCTTTCCCTTTCTTTAAAAATTTTAAAACTGATCCATAAACATAATATATGTCTATAAGGTACCATGTGATGCTTTTATGCATGTATGCATTTGGTACTGTCCAAATCAGGGCAAATATATTTATTTCCTCAGGCCCTTGATGTTTATCCGTGACAAGAACGTTCATATCTTTTCTTTGAGATCTTTGTTAAAATGCACTGTAAATGACTGTAGTCTGTGCTCTGCAGTTGCTCACTGCTGTCCAAGTATGACTAGGCACCACGAGTCGACCTTTCCCGTTCTCTCCTCCTCTCCACTCACACCAGTCATTGTAACCATTGGTGTTTCTATTTCTAACTTTTCCATAGAAAACCTCCATTTAGTTTTCCATAGATTGTACTAATTCACATTCTCACCAACAATGTGCAAGGGTTCCCTTTTCTTCACATCGTAACCAAGATTGTTTTTCAATTATTTTTCTTTTTGATAATAGCCACTCTCCCCAGAGAGAGGTGCTAACTCATTGTGGTTTTGATTTGTGTTTCTGTATGATGAGAGATGTTGAATTTCACCCCCCTACAACTGTTGGTCCTTTGTATGTCTTCTTTTGAGTGGTGCACAGTAGGTCAACTATTCATTTTAAATTCAGCTTATTTAGGCTATTTTTTGATCTTGTGTTGATTGAGTTTATTATATATTTTCAATGATAACTTTTTGCCAGATATTTCCTTTTAAAATACTTTCTCAAATTCTATAGTTTGTCACTCTACTGATAATTTTTTTGCTTGCAGAAACTCTTTAGTTTGATGAAGTAACATGCATGTATTGTTACTTTGATTGCCCTTGCTTCAGAGTCTGAGCCCCCTGCCCTGACTCATAGCCCCTCTAGTGTGCCCATTCCGGTCTCCTAAAGCATTTTCCCTATGCTGTCTTCTGATAGTTCTATGATTTCAGGCATTACAGTAATGTCTTTAATCAATTTTGAGATTACTTCTGCACATGATGAGGTCTATTTAAACAGGGGTCTTTTTCATTCTGTACCTGAGTGACCAATTGTCCCTACATCATTTGTTGGAAAGATTGTCCTTTTCCAATGGTATATTTTTAGCACCTGTGTTAAAGATTAGTTCATAGCAGATACATGGATTTACTTCTGGGCTCTCAATTCTGCTCCATTGGTCTGTGGACCTGTTTTTATGCTAATAGTATGTTATTTTGATTTCTGTAGATCAATAGTATATTTTGAAATTAGACAGTATGATGTCTCTTACTTTGCTCTATTTGCTCAAGTTTACTTTGGCTATTTGTTTTATTTTGTGGTTCCATACAATTTTAAGATTCATTTTTGTGGTTCTGTGAAAACTACCATTAATATTTGATAGGTAATGCATCCAAACTTTATAATTTGGACTATTATGGTCTTTGCCTGATAGTGATTCTCCTGATTCATGAACACAGGATAGTCTAACATTTCCTTGTGCTGTGTTCATTTTCTCACAGCTGTTTTGTAGTTTTCATTTAGAGAAATTTCATCTCTTTGGCTAAATTTGTCTCTAGTATTTTATTTTTAGTAGTCATTGGAAATGAAATTACTTTCTTAATTTCTTTTTTTCAGATAATTTACTTTCGATGTGTAACAATACTACTTTTTTTTGTGCACTGAGATATTATGAACCTTAATAGATTAAAAAAATTAGTTCTAGAAGGTTTTGGTTGAGTTTTCTAAGCAAAGATTGTGTCATCTACAAACAGTGAAAATTATACTTCCTTCTGATTTGTGGGTACTCTGTGTCTTGCTGTCTCTTGCTGAGACGGAGTGCTTTGTCCCATTACTGTGTGGGAAAGTGATCACCCTCGTCTTCTTGCTCAGATCTTGGAGCGAAAGCTTTAGGCTTCGCTCCGTTTAGTATGACAATGTTGGCTGTTAACTATTATCTAAGTGTTGTATGTTCCTTCTGTTTCTCATATGCTTATCCTTTTTGTTGTGAAAGGGACTTTAATTTTATCAGATAACTTTTCTACATCTATTGAGATCATTGTATGATTTTTGTTGATGTAGTATGTCACATTTTTGATTTGCATGTATTGAGCCATCCTTGTATCCCCTGCACTGATTCCAGTTGGTCATGGTCGATAACCTTTTGAATATGCAGTTGGATTCAACTTGCTGCTACACTGTGGAGGGTTTTGGATTTGTGTTCATTACATCAGTGTGCAGCCTTCATTTTCTGTTTTGTCTTTGTCTGGTTTTGATTTTACGTAATGCTGTCCCCACAGCAGGACTTTACAAGAATCCACCCTGTTAAATTTTTTGAATTAACTTAAGAAAAAATAGTTAGTTATTTGATAATCAGTATTTAGAAAGATAAATGACATGCTTTTTGCATAATATTCTCTAGAATGTAGCTGTTTAGCTATTACAGCGTAAGGCAGAAATTATTCAATATTCCTAACGTGAAATGATGCACAGTGAAATGAGAACCAGAAATATATATATATATATACAATATAATGTTTTTCCATTGAATTGTAAATGCAGTAAGAACTTTGAAATTCACTTTTTTTTCCCAGCAAACATTTTCCATGAACTTTTGAGAACTTCTTGTATGCAAGGCTTTCAATCAGTTTTTTTCTTGCACTGAGATACTTACCTTTAAACTCCATTTTGTATGAGCTTTTTGAAGTATCCCTGTATGTGTATGTATTAACTTCACTTTTGGTTTCTAAAGAACTCTGTCACATAACTCATAGAGAATCCTGTACCTAAACATGAGGGAATGAAGGGAGCTTAATGATACTGATACGATCTCTTATGTACACCAAGTGCCCTCACACACATGTGCACATGCATAAGGCTCACACACATACACATGCATGCTACTCAACACACACGTCAGATTAGCAGCACAAACTGACAGTCATGACTAATGTGAGCCAGTTTTCTACTGAAGTTGAATGAGGCAGAGGATGGTTCAGCAGACGGCTCTGTAGCTTGGTGCTACATGCTGACAGTGTCTTGGGAGCCCTGGGTGAGAGCAGCTCATGCATACCCCCCTGTTCTCACCATGTACTTGGGAGTGGTAAGAAGTTGAGGTCTCGTGGGCAACTGCACAATATGGCTGAGTTTGGAGATGTTTTAGAGATTTTTAAAAAAATGGTTTATTTATTTGAAGGGCAGAGAAATAGAGATGAAGAGCTATGTCTGCTGGTTCACTTCTCAATAGCTGGGATAATAGCTGGGACAATAGCTGGGACTGGGCCACATTGAATCCAGAAACCAGCACTCCATCGGAGTCTCCCACATGCATAGCATCGGCCCGAGTACTGACTGCCTTCCGCTTCCTACTAGGAACATTAGCAGGAAGTTAGATTCGAAGCAGAATACCCAGAATTTGAAGCAGCATTCTGACATGGGGTGCCAACAATAAGAACTGTACCCCAACCCCAGCCCCTGTCACAGACATTTAACACTGGAACCGTTCAGGTGGCTTCTGACTATGGAATATACTGAATTTGTGATGTTAATATTCAGTAGGGCATATGGGGGGAGGCATTGGATGTGTCAACAGAACAAGAGGGTCAGCTATTCTGGTCTGCAGTCCCTGTGTGTGTACACTGAGGTTGCTGCCCTACAGGTGAGGCATGCAGCAGAATTGGGCCAGTGCCTGTGTGTTCTGCTAGGGCAAGTGGCTTCTGTGAGACCTGTGGATACCACCAAGCCAGTGTTCCTAATGCAGGCTACTTGGAGCCTGGGGCAGGACCCTGCTAAATACTGTTTTGTGCATCATAATTGTCCATAAACAGTTTGTCTTGTGGCAATGTTCCAGGTAAGCCTAGCTGGCTGGGTTGCAGTCAGGGTGCTAAGCAAGTGCACTGTGTAGGTTTTGTGTGTCTCTGTTGGTGGGCACTGTCTTCATTGGTGTAAGGGTCTCTCCAGAGGCACTACCATCTGCTTATAACTTCTCGACAGTGCCTTTGGGAACAAAGCCACAGAGATTGTCAGTCACTGCTCAGAGAGGGAGTGGGGTACTGAAAGGTTTTCTTAGCTGTCCTTCTTAGTGCCAAAGAAGCTATAGTTTTGTAGATTTTCTTGGTAGTTTCTACAAGAAATAGCTGGAATTTAGCTCTTCTAAGTAATTTTATTAAAAGATGGCAGCTGATATGCCAAAAAATAATCCTGGTTTTATTATTGATTCTTCCAATGGCTAACAAAAAATTATAGGCTTTCAAAGGTGTGTTTTGGGGTGGTATTGGAAACATGCATGGTTGTAGTCTTTCTGCTTGGGTAGCCCATTCTGCCCAAGCCAGTTCTTTAGTCATCTCGGAGTTAACAGTGAAAGGACTCTGTGTATTGCTTGGACATTTCCTTCATTTCAGTTGCTGCTTTCCCACCTGTCAGGATGGCAGGGTGATGTGACTACACCTGGGAGACCATGAATGCCGGCCTTGTGACTCAGAAGCCTAGCATCTGAGTGCTTCCTGATAGAGCTCACCCAGTTGCAGCCCACGCAGCTCTGTGGAGCAGAGCTGGCCCTGTCCAGTCCGTATGGTTGTGTGGACAAAGGTTGGCACAGCCTCAGCAGGAGCTAGTAGCTGTGGTAGGACTGCAGAGAGCAGCACAGAGCAGTCGGCTGTTCCTCCCGTGGCTGGTGCTTTGTGAATGTGATGTTCGCCTGGGGGAAATTCCCACTTAGCAACAGAGTAATGTTACTCCTTAGTTACTTGGCTGAGGATTTGGGGGGCAAGTGCTGATACAGAAAAGTTAAAGTGGTTCTCAGGTTTTTAAATTTTTTTTAAAGAAAAGGTGAAAGTAAATTTAATGGTGGCTCCTTAGTATTTCCCAAATTATAAGTTTCAAATCTTTTCACAGGTGTGGCAAACTGCAAACAACAATCTCGTCTTAACCCAGAGAGCAATCCTAACAGAACTGGGGGACTTAACTTGGTAAGAACATTTCCCTCAGTTCATTGCTCTGTATTTTTGGGTGTGATCAGTTAAGGCGGTGTGTTGTACAGGAGCACAGAGGGTGTGGGGTTACTCCACAGCGTGGTTCTGAATCCCTGCATGCTTTAAGGGGGTGTGAGCTGGTATGTGGTGCTGGGTCCTGTGGGCTCGGTTCTAGTGCTGGCGTGGTTCTGAAAGGGCAAGCCCCTTGGCAGGCTGAAAGTGACATCTTGATGGTACTTAATTTAATGTCACTTTTAACAAATGGGGTTTGAGGTGGTTAGAATCTGAGGAAACTTGAAGCTGGGAGGAGGAAACCTGTATTTTCAGAGTCACCCTTCATTGCCAGAAGACCCTCCAGCTTCAGTAACCACCTTCATGGGTTCTGGATTCTGCTCCATGTAACGTCTCATCTAAGCCTGCCTTGGCGTTTGTCAAATTCTTTGGGTGAATCAATGCTGAATTACAACTGATTGCAAGGAACTTGGATTAATGAGAAAAGGCTCACTTTACTCATTAAGGACAGGCAGAGCTGGGTGGCCGTGGGCAGCTGTTCAGTCCTTCTACCTGCTCTGCCTGGATCCTTCTAGTAATTTTTCTTATGACTACATTTATTTGCTTTGACAGATGTCAATAGCTTGTGTAATTATTAGTATTAAAATCTAAAGCTGTCTGCAGTGATGGGGCAGGGATTTTTGTCAATGATGTGAATGATAGAATAATTTTATTCTGACCTTCCAAGATCACATTTTGTCAGTGGAGTGTCTTAAGAATTACGGTTTTCCTGGGAGAATGCAGAGCTTCCCTGTACGTCAGTTGTGAGTGGGACCTGTGTGAATCTGAGCCACTGTAGATGAGTTGGAGAGAGGGCCTTGCGCTTGGCTTGGCTACAGCTCCTGGCTGCTCCCAGTACTCAGAAGCCATGAGGAGCTGCTACCCCTCCACTGGGTTCAGGACCTTCCCTAGGGAAAGGAGCCCTGTAGATGCTTCCCAGTTTGCAGATGACCAGCAGTTCTTTACAAGCCTGGAAAGCATGCAGAGCATATCCTGATCTGCCCTACCTGTAACCCCTCCATGAGGAGTGCTTACGAGGGCATGCTTACCCTGTTAAACCCCTGGATGACTTCACTTTAAATGACATTCTGGTTCATAAGGAAAATAGGCAACTTGGCCAGCAGGAAATGGAGCACTAAAAGAGGATGTTTCCATGCTGCCACAGGGAACCCTGATTGGAGTTAAGCCATGGTAATTACTGCTGATGTCATGTAAAAGGATGGAAAACCACAAAACCCGCTGTTTGCCGTCACCACAATTCTTCCTTTATTTGATTGAATTGCATTTATTTGTTGTGCTCTTCTTGATGATTGATCAGGTCAATACTAAATTATACAAAACTGGGGTTTTTTATTTCAGAAGTCAAGAGGAGTGACAGGTTCACTGTCCCAGGACGGGCACTTACTCCTTGATTTTCCCTTAAGGACCTTTGTTCGGTGCTTTCCCCGTGCTGCATCATCCCTCAAGAATTTTGGTTTAAGGAAGGGCAAACCCCCAATGCTCCGACTTTGGTTTTCTTGTTTTCAGCACTACCATAGCAGCCGGTTATAGAACAGGTTGCCATCTCCGAATTGGAGATGTGGAGATGAAGTCCGTGCCTGACAGAGGCTGATAGTAAGTTGGTACCTGGTTTCAGTACTGCGCGTGCAGCACAAATGAAGCCTGGGGGTGGAGGGTAGTCCTCTGCCTTGGTCTGCGTTGCACCTTACACTCAGGCGCAATGAACTGTTGACACATTTATCTCATGGATGTGCGTTTCAGGGCAAGATCCAGGTCAGATTTCCATCCACCTCATACCGAGCATAGACCCCCTTCACAAAGATGGGGGGAGGGCAAAGCAAGGGAGGGAGAGGAACTCCTGCTCAGTGGCTCCTGGGACCCCATGCTGGGAGCCTGCTCTGGTTCCTCAGGCCCCTTGTGTTTCTCTGCTGTGGTGGTTGAGGCTTGTGGTTGCACCGACCCTCAGCGCCTGTGCCAGTCAGAGCTCCATTGGCTGCATTGGTGTTGGCCTCTGACTCACTTCCCAGGACAGCTGGGCAATGAAGGTGTAAGTGGCCAAGTGTGTGCCGTGCAAAGTGAAGAGCTCCCCTTCAAGATGCTAAACCTCTCGGAACAAAGTGCTGCTGTTGGGAGCTTAATGCATTTTCCCATGTCAGTGATGCTAGTCCCATGTTAGTCAGATGCTGGAATCTCATGCATGACTAACAGATGCTTCCTATTTCACGTGAACATGCCAGCAATGCCTGTTCTCTCTCTTGCTGTGATGGGAGCATCGGAATACTTTTATGCCCTGGCCCCCAAATCAATCATTCCTCTTTGTCACTGATGCTCACATCTTTTAAATTATTCATGGGCTGTTATGCTCCTTTATTGTTGCCAAACACTTCAGGGACATTCAGGATTGTATGTGTTGGAGTTCTCTATTGTCTTCCCAATTCTCCTGACTGTGCTTTGGATTACCTCCAGTTTGCATACATGATTTTGGTAGTGAGGTGCCAGAAGTACATTTGTTTTAACTGGAGTCTCCTTGAAGTTGCTTTTACTCAAATCATGTACACATATAAACATGTTTTTCAAGGTATGAAAATTCAGTGAACACTCCAAAGGGAAGCTGAGATATACAAATATGTTGTTATATGCGATAGGTAGTTTTCAAGATACTGAACATCTCAAAATCCCAAAGATCATGGAATGGGCTCTTATATTTTGAAGGCTAGGTCTGTGATTATTTTACAGGTTTCCTGATTCCCGTAGGCCTGTGAGTTTTCCTTGATAACTGATGCACAGAATGGCACATATTTGTTGTGCATAGTCAGACAGGTCTGGACCCACATTAAGCACCTGTAAGACTGTCACAAGATTGAGGTAACAGGTATATGCATTATCTCCAAAACTGACCTCCATATTCCTTTGCTTTTGTTGGGTTTTAAGATTTTAATGGATTTGAATTCTGTCCTCACAGATGTCTTTCTTTCCTTCCTTTTTGCTTTCCAAATTTAGAAGCCTGGGTCCTTGGTTGCTATTGTATTACAGAAAAAAAAGAGATTTAATAAAGTGACCATTAGAACATTAACTACACAGTCATTGAAACCCAACAAAATATGAGTGATTTCTTTAATAAGCAATTCTTGGGTCTTATAAGCTGATACTCCAGGGGATTGTTCAAGGGACAACTGAGAAAACAGTAAGTTGTGAAAATACGTAGCATAACCAGACAAATGACTCAGAGCAAAATTCAACAAAAGGAGAAAATCATGTTTCCTCTGCAAATTGCTGTTTGCCTCAAGGCAAGCCACATGAGGGAAATAGCAAAGGTGCCTCCCTGGAGAGAAAGTGTTATTGGACTTCACATGTATGCACATGTTCAAGGTTTTGAGAAAGAAGCAAACCAAAGAAATGCATCACAACTGCTCTGCTTTGACCAGGCAGGGGCAGCTCAGGCCTGGGGATAATGCAGGGCAGTCAGAAGCAATCAAACCTGTGTTTGGGTCTCAGCCAGCCTGTCCTAAATGGTCTTGCAGTAGAAAGGCACTTATGTGCAAAACTCAAATATTAGTGCCTGTACATATGTTACAGCAGAGAGAAGATAGGGAATGAAGAAGAAATGCATCAAGCTCACTAAGAAAAGTCAGTCTCCCTTTCTTAAGGGGCACATGCACAAATACAGAAATGAAAATAAGCCTTAGTGAGGTCCACTTGAACTCTAGTTTTGCAATCTCAGAAGCTGCCATGTTGGCCTAGTGGCTTGCTAGCTTTCCTGCACTAGTACAGAAATGGAGGAAAGCCTTGTTAAGGCAGCTTGAGTTCCACTTTGAAATTTCAGACACTGGTGGTATTGGTTTGGAATCCCTAAGATTTTCTTCACGACTGCAGGCAGCAGGTGAATAATCTCATATTTGGGAGACTGTCATCTAGTAAATTGATTTCAGAGCTGACTGTAATAAAATGTGATTTGCTAACTTCTAATTTACCTGCTCCACCAATAGTCACGCAATTTTTGTCATTTCAGTACATACTGTGAGTACAACCAGATCTATAAATGCGTATGAGTGTTGTGTGGGGGAGAAGACAATCTCTCCTCCTGCTCTAGTTTCTGTGGCTGACAAACTGACAGGAGAAAAAGCGTGCAAATTGTATTTGGTGTTAATATTTTAATTTTAACTTTATGTGCATGGAGGCTATCACAGGAAAAGAAGTGACAATCCAAACGGTTAGAGCTGGGCCACAGGTACCGTTTTAACAGAGGGCGGTGAGTGGCGTGGACCCGGGACACTGAAGAGGAGTTGAGGCTGATGTTGGCCCTTTGTGCAGATCTGCCTCAGTGCTGACTCGCCTGCAGGGCTACTGGCTGCTGTGTGAGCTGGGAGGGAGGGGCCACCTTCCCATAGCAGACTGTGTCTTACTCCCCTAGGGTGTGGGGAGGCCACACCTTTGGTGTATCTGCCATTCTCTAGCTCACCCTTACAGTTATGTATGTGTCTTTTTTTTTTAAAGATTTATTTTTATTATTTTTTATTGGAAAGGTGGATACACAGAGAGGAGAGACAGAGAGGAAGATCTTCCGTCCAATGATTCACTCCCCAAGTGAGCTCAACGGCCGATGCTGTGCCGATCCGAAGCCAGGAGCCTCTTCCGGGTCTCCCACATGGGTGCAGGGTCCCAAAGCTTTGGGCCGTCCTCGACTGCTTTCCCGGGCCACAGGCAGGGAGCTGGATGGGAAGCGGGGCTGCCGGAATTAGAACCGGCGTGCAAGGCGAGGACCTTAACCACTGTGCCACCACGCCGGGCCCTTGTATGTGTCTTGATCCTTCAGTTCCTATACACTCCAGTGCCCTGTTGTGCTATATAGTCCACAGTATTCAGAATTTGTGCTGTCTGTGCAAGGCAGGGAGAGCAAATAAATCTTCTATCTCTCTAGTTGTCTGATTTTTGGTCACTTTTTCAGT